GCCAGCACCCAGGGTGTCAGTCAGCATCTCAGGGAAGGCCTCCCATGGGGCACGCACAAGCTCACCCGTTCTCAAGTGCACTGTGTGAGGACTGCCGATGGCCCTCGGAGGCTCGGGCTGTGATCCTGGACAATTTTTCTCCAAAGCAGGGAATCCAAAGAAGGCCAAGGTACACGGTTTGCAATGGAGACGAGCTCCAGGATTCCCCTCTGGACAGGGCAGGAGAGAGGCATTCCTCTTTTCCCTTTCAGGAATGGCCCACGGGAGAGGAAGCACGCCCTGCATATTTGATTCAGTGCATGTGGATTTCAAAATGTCCTTTGCTGACAGAGGATAAAAGACTCACTCTTTAGAAGAAGCTCACAATGGGCCCCTTTGAGGTTTCACAAGAGGCTCAAGAAGGGTTGAGGCAAAAGATTATTAGGAACATAAACTCTCCCAGGGATCTTGGCAGGGTGGGCCAGGCCTTGAAAAGGGGCTCTGGGATCTGAGAAGAAATAAGAAAAGGGGTGTAGGATCCCCGCCTTCTGAGGAGAGAGGCTCAGGAGAGACCACCCTCAGGGTGCAGGCCGTGGTATTGGGGAACCTGACTTCCAACTCTGTCCTCTGGCTTTCTCATTGCTCTCTGCAGCTCCGCTCCATGAAGCCCTGAGAGAGCAGGGTTAAAAACAGAGCAGAGACAGGAACCCAGGCAGGCTCATCCAGAAGATGTGTGTACCTGGGAGCATGGTGGGGTGGGGACTGGGGCCCTGTGGGGGAAGGGTCTGGCAACCCCATGGGCTCATACGCCTTTCAGAAACCCTGGAAGGACCCCCTGGGCTCCCTCCAGGAACCACAGACTCACTCACACTTGATATTTCTGGGTTTTTTTCTTTCCTTTCCATAAGAACTCAAATACTCCAAAGCTTCTTTAATGATGTGTTTTGTATATGCAAGTTTTCACCCACACCACTCAGAGTTTTCCAATAAAAATATATCTAAATAAACAGTCTAAATGTGTTACATAAGGATGCAAATTTATTTCCTTTTCATATGGGAATCAATTAAGACTCTGACTAACAATTGCCATTTTAAAGAGGGTTTCCAGCTGGGCTGGCCATTACAAGAAGTGGGACTATCCTATGCCCTCCCAGGACTGAGACCTCAGCAGGATACTTGCCAGGTTGTGTGGGGCAAACAGGAATGAAAGCGTTGCCTTGCTAGGGACCCAGGTGCTTTGACAGGGGACAAAGTGAATTTGCACTGGGGACTCCGCCCATAGAGGGTCCCATGTGTCCCAGATAAGCCATGACATTGAGCCCACTAAGGGTCAAATGACATCAGGCTTAGGGCACTTCTGCCTCCACTGAACTTTTGGCCTTCAGGAGAGACATTCTCCAAACAAGTGACCAGCAAAGAAAGATCATCTGTCCACCAGAGTCTGTGAAAGGAAACCAGCCTGCTGAGGGCACGGGAGCATGAAGCTGTGAACAGGGGCCTTCCTGCCTCTGGCACCATGGTGGAAAGACCAGCAAGAAGGAAGGCCTGGCTCAGGTACAGGATCAGGGAGCAGGAGATGGTCTCACCTGGGAAGCTGGGCAGCCCTTTGACCAGGAGGGTCTGTGAGACAGGAAGTCCCTTGGTGGCCATGAACTAGAACTAACAGTGCAAAGCTTGGGCTCAAGGTCACACCTCCTCCTCCTGGAGCCGGGCTCCAGAGGCACCTCCTTTACCCTGCACCAGGCACCTGCCAATTCCCCTTGAGGAACTGAGCCTATCAGGGAGCCCTGGCCTCCAGCCTGTGTTGCCTTCCTGGGACCAGAGAGGCTCCCCCACACCACCTGTCGACTTTGGTCCCCTTGGAACGCTTCGGCCTTCAAGTCTGTTCTGGTGGTAGGACGTGCTCCAAGGTCAGCACTTTCTGTAAAGTCCCTTTAAAACCTCAGGACTCGCGCGGAAGGCCAGGGGTGGCTGGGTGGCAGGAGGTAAAGCTAGGCATGGTCCTGCAGGCGCCCTGCCTGCTCCTCAGAGCAGGGTCTGTTTCCACAGAAATGATCTCCTGGAGGTGCAGGAGACACGGGAGCTGCTCACAGGGCTGCTGGGTCCCAGGGAGGCAAGTGGGCGCTGCCCTTCCCTGATGCTGCCAAAGCACTCGGCTGGCCCCTTCAGAGCTTTGGTTTCTTAAACTTCCCATTTTAAATAACTTTGGGAAACTGACATAGAAAGTTTGTGAACCAAGCACTAGAGATGATGTGCCAGAAGACTCAGATAAAGGTGTGTGCGCCAACAGGTGTCACCACACGCTGGGACACGTTCTGAGAAACAAGTCCCCGTGCAGGCACCGCAGAGGTGCACACAAGAGCCTGCATGCTGGGGTCACTTGCGGGTGAGGCACCTCTTACAGCCTCCTAGAGACAGCGAACACGGGGTGCAGAAGCCACTTAGTCATTTATCACCAGCATCAAGACTGATGGGCTGCAGGTGAGTGATGTGCTCTGTGTTCACACAGCCAGCGCACAGTAGGCTGCTCACACTGACATCTCCCCACCTCCCACTGCACTTGTGAGGCCTGGCTGATATCACCAGGCCAAGGGAGTTTCTGATGAGACCATGGCTGCATCCGAAGTCTGTCAATCACCAAAATGTCCTGGGGAGCATGTCAGTCAGTGTGGATGTGTGTGTATGCCATGCTAACTCTTGCACACACCATCAAACTGATGTGCATTTATGTCCATATCTGCGTATGTGTATGTATGTATAGCTATGTGTGCGTGTGCATGTGAAAACTTTAGCAATTACACTACTGAATAAAGATTCTTAATCA